GAAGGAGCGGAGGATCGGGGCAGGACAGGGGTAATGTTGGGATAAGATCTTTATCGTTTTGGAAGCCATTAAGAAAAAAATGCTTTTCTTGTTTTATCCTGTTCATTTTGTGTTTAAAAAAAAAACATATTTAGGTGTAATTTTGGGGGGCCGGGAACCAATTAATTGGTTTTCCATTACATCTTATGGGGAAAAATTCGATCAGAACTCGAACTTTTAAGGATTCGATCCGGAGTCCGGAACGGATTAAGTTCGAGAACCGAGATACCACTGTATATTATCACTTCACAGTTGCTTAATTAACTATTTAAAACAAAATACAGAAAAAACAAAGATTTTAAATGCAATGACACATTTGCAATTATATCTTAAATCATTACATTTCAAAACAATCGAACGAGTCTGGCACATGGGCAGTCCCCCACGCGAGGCCACCACACAAGCGCTGCACGACAGCGTATCAACCAGGCACAACATCCGTTCTAACACAATTCTGATGAGGAACATGCCTGTGATCTCCCCCTAGTGTATCAATCAGGCATTATACTAAATAACTAAAACTTTGTAATAGACATTAAAATAACAATTCTGCTTATATTTTCAACATTTTAACATGTACCTATATATAACTATATACATTGAAGTGTTAAGCATAAAAAATCTACATTGGCCTGAAATGGGAACTTCTGCAGTTTTACGTCCCTGTTGTTGTTGAAATATTGTAGTAAGGAATTTGTATAGTGCATGTTTGTTTTTAGCTTCGTGAGAGTTATAACCCTCGTTTGTGACGGGCCAATAATCTATTTTCAGAACACTTTTCTATTCCCGACTGAAGGTCTTAATTCCACCTTGTAGAAGCCATCAGGATAAGAAACAGACCAAAACCTTCAGAGGATGATCACTGTCTCACGGACAAAACATTCCAAAGGTCAAAAATCCAGCCACTGTTGGATTCAGACGTACTTTAAGTTGATCAAAGGCTGAAAATGAATGAAGAAAAATAAAATTATCTATACTGACTAACTTCTACAGTTCTAGTGACATGATTAATATCCATTTAGACAACCTAATAATTATTATATATAGATATACACACAAAAGCACATATTTTATATATGCATATTGGATATTATATATTTTTCATATATATGCATATTGCACATTATATACATTCTTTCCGTACCAGGGTATTGAAGAGATTCCTTTATATTGCTTTACTCTCCCAGTAAATTAAAACTATCGTCACAACCACCTGCAGCGAGAGGTGAATTGCAATAATCATATCGAACCCTTTGTCAACCTGTAATGAATGAAGTATGGATGGTTATTTTTTAACAGAAAAGAATTTATATTACATACAAATACATTCCATGTGGTATATAAATGCATCTTACAGACCTACTCATGCCTTGAAGTCTATCAAACCATTTATATGATGAATTAAAATTGCTATAGACATCTGACTGCACAGTATTAATAAAATAGACCTGCATCCATTTACATAAACATTCATCCAGTACAGGGTTGTGATGAGAAACAAAACTGCAATAAAATTACAGAAGCCTCTATATATTATAAAACAAACTGTAATACATTTGACAATATTACTCCCTCTCATAGCCTTAATGCTGGACTTATCTGCCAAAATAACTAAATATAGAATCTTAACATCTATGGGCTGTCAGACTTACACTAAAATTCCATGGTGGCCCAAGTGAACAGAGACGCATTATCCAGAAACGCAGAATAGTCAGAGCACAGAATAAGCTGATGATGTTCAGAGTGAATGAAATTCTAGTCTGTTAGCAAAAGAAAACACAGGTACAGGTGAGTGAAGCAGCACACATTTGTTCACCCAGTGGAAGTGTGAATTTATCATATCAGAGCTGAGAGCTGGAATTATACACTGTCAGATAATAATGCCAACATATACCTCTGAGGGTACAATTACTATTCACTGGGGCTTTACCCTCAAGGGTCTGCCAACTGTACCCTACCTGTACAGGGAAATGCACCTTCTAGCCTAAAGTACAACAAAATGGACTCTGAGGACCTTTATTGACTATCAGCGGTACATTAATGTTGTTTGTACCTTAGGGAACAAAACAATACCCGTGCTGTACAATTTATTCTGACGGTGTAGGTACCTGCTACTTGGGATTTATCGTTAAACATTAACAAATCTGTATTAACATACGAAGGAAAGGCGTCGTTTGAGACTTACCACGCACATATTTGACGAGTGTCCAGCGGCATATGATACTATGCCAGAAGCTACAAACTACAAAATATAATAAATACAAATTAAGTAATAAATGTAATAATCGGAAGTGTTGTTTTCCAGCTGATAACATCCGAAGTTTAAATATCAAGTCAAGCAAATGGGAGAACTGATTTAACACAATAATCAGGGTTTAAATACATCATACAATACTGACAAAACACGTCACTTTGCCAGANCCTCTGAGGGTACAATTACTATTCACTGGGGCTTTACCCTCAAGGGTCTGCCAACTGTACCCTACCTGTACAGGGAAATGCACCTTCTAGCCTAAAGTACAACAAAATGGACTCTGAGGACCTTTATTGACTATCAGCGGTACATTAATGTTGTTTGTACCTTAGGGAACAAAACAATACCCGTGCTGTACAATTTATTCTGACGGTGTAGGTACCTGCTACTTGGGATTTATCGTTAAACATTAACAAATCTGTATTAACATACGAAGGAAAGGCGTCGTTTGAGACTTACCACGCACATATTTGACGAGTGTCCAGCGGCATATGATACTATGCCAGAAGCTACAAACTACAAAATATAATAAATACAAATTAAGTAATAAATGTAATAATCGGAAGTGTTGTTTTCCAGCTGATAACATCCGAAGTTTAAATATCAAGTCAAGCAAATGGGAGAACTGATTTAACACAATAATCAGGGTTTAAATACATCATACAATACTGACAAAACACGTCACTTTGCCAGATGAGTGGGCATCGCATAATGCATCATGTGTGGTACTAGGGGAATCTGAGCCAAGAAAAGAGTGATAGCAAGCAGCCCTGTGACAATCTGAGCAGTCTGAGGAAGAAACAAGCCGAGAAATGAAATTTATTATTTCTGTTGTTGTTAACGGAACATAAAAAAATAACAACAATAATAATAATAATAATAAAGACGCACCCCCAGCGCTTGGGGCTGTCCTTTACGAAAGACCTTGTATGAATCTTTAAACACACGGTGAAACTTTTCCGGCGTCAAGGTCTCTGACTGCCCGCGGTCGCCCTTGACCAGCGGTATCGTGGTGACAATACAGTCGTCGCATTTAAATGTGTCCATTACAGTATCTGTCTGAAAAGAAAAGGTTTCATAAGCTATGTAATAACATTAAATATAATACTTAAATCTGACGAGACACATACTGACTTATCCACAGCATGAAATGCAATGCATCGTACCAAAATATTAAATTGTTCCGATATTTCGATGTTTTATCTGGGCTGGGTTTTATCTGGTACATTATTTATTTAAATATATCGTTTACTGAAAAACAAACAAAAATCAACTAATTTTCTCTATTAAATAAAACGTTCCTATTAATAGACCTGCTTAAACATTTTAATAGTTCATGCATCTGTCTTACCTGGTGACTTCAGCTGTGCAGGATTGTACTGCGCTTGGGTTTGGTGACTGAAATGTCGCGATGACAAAAACCCCAGACCAAGGGGACAAACCACACAGACCCACCCCTATCAACTGCGCTGCGTCGCTTCACTGACGACGATTCTATGGAGTGAGATCAGTGCCAAATATACGAGAGCGCAGATGCATAGCTAAACCGAGCAAAACAGACACTATGAGCGCGCACCGCGCTTTTGAAACGCAGATAAGAGCGCTCGCTTCTCGCAGCCTCGCGATCGATTAACTGGTTCTTGCGCGCTGAGTTTTCTGCTCACTTCTGAAACCCCTGCACGCAATTTTCTGCTCGTTTTGTAATTTAAACAGGAAATTACGTCAGAGATTCAAGGCGTGGCAGCTGATTTCCGACACTATCGATTGAAAGCGCGCAAAAGGGTCTGGCTACAGAACGTGCACTCTCAGCCATATGCACGCTCAGCCACTGACGTCATGTGCACGCTCAGCCGCAACGGGAAGTGCAACCGGGGAATCGTTATTATCGTTTCCAAATTGCTAAGTTAGTGCTAATAAAGTGTAAAAATTGTACGTTTTCGAATTACAGTCTTGCCAATTATGAACGATATGAAATATTCTTAATCTGGCCTTTGTTGGTTTATTAAAATGTTCAAATACCAGATTAAGTCAATCAAGCTATAAATGCTCGCTTGTTATTCTTGTAATTATTAGCATCGTGCCCGTGGTAGCGTAGCAAGAGCACTGATAATAATAATAATAATACATTTTATTTAAAAGGCGCCTTTCTGACACTCAAGGTCACCGTACAGGCATACATAAAATTTATACACACTACAAAAGATAAAATGCAAAAAAAAAATATATAAATGACAAATAAATGGATTTTACAATGAATAGGCTCGCTTGAACAGATAGGTTTTGAGTCCAGATTTGAAATGAGAAAATGAGTCCATGTTTCTAAGATGAGATGGGAGGGAGTTCCAAAGGCGGGGTGCAGAGCGGCTAAATGCTCTGCTCCCCATTGTGGTAAGACGGACA